AAAAAAATAACAACGAAAAAGAAATGCTAACTTTTACATGAGTTGGCAGATGGTAGTCCTCCTACCATCTGTTTTTAAGAAATTAACCTCCTCAGTCCAGTTTTCTGATCTGTTGTAAGCTTGGTGGGGAACTTGACGTTGAACTTAATTCTCAAGTTCCCTTTCTTTGAAGGTTCTTTGGGAATAGGCATCCCCTCCCCTTTAACAACTTCTTCATAGGTTGGATTGATGATGTTGTTTATGGGGATTGTCAGATTCCGTCCATCAAGTGTTGTCACCTGCGCTGTGTAACCTGTCAAAGCTTCGAGAAGAGTTACCTTCTGAGTGACAACAAGATCATTGCCATCTCTCTTGAACACACTATGAGGCTTCTCATCAATAATGAAGACCAGATCTGAGGGTGTAACACCTCGTTGTTCATTTCCTTTTTCTGGAAAAGTGATTTTTGTCCCTTTTTTCCACCCTGGCTTGATTTCAATGGTAAGAATTTCCTCCACTGTGGTAGGTCTCCTGTAGAAGCAAATGGAGAGGAGCATAAAAGGATCAAACTTAAGTAATGATAATAAGAAGCTTGACGTACACAACAAATTTCATATTGTTTCAATCCATTGGTGAGGCACAAGTACATCCCATCCCCCAATGTCCTTTCTTCCCAAAATTTTTACCTCTTTTTATTAGTTCCACTCAGTTATTGACCTTCAAAACATTCAAGAATAAACCTTTTGTCACATTAACCTCTACTGGCTGATGACATGCACTTTCCATGAGACAAAAAAACAAGGCCAACCAAAAAGCTAAAGGGAGTAGTACTACTTTGTTAAGTGCAATACATCTCAACGATTGTACCAGATACATCCAGAGCATCATTTTCAACTGACTTTGAATTGCACAGAAGGTTCAAATCTGAAAAGTGCATTTAGAGGATTTACATTCTGACTTTTATGAAAAAGCTTGATTGAAGCCCACCACAATGTGCTCTGAATTGTTATTCATTGGTAAGGTGTGAAGAAAAAGAATTTGACAATAAAGATTTTCGTTTTCCCATGAGCCACAGTGGATAATTCAGTTGAGAAAATACTATCACTTAAAACTAGAAGGCAACTATTGCTGACAGACATTGGCTCATGATAATAAAATGTACAGTTAAGAGGTAGAAAAGTCTCTAAGTTGAATTTCACCCACCATGCAGTGCACTGCTAATGTTGCTTAAACAAGCATTGGAATGAGATAAACTCCACATGAGACACTCTCTCACCATAATCTTACCACTTAGCAACTCTTACACTTACAGAGTGAATCTATCATATATTCATGTGTTTCTCATGGTTCATTGATTATGATTATGATTCCTCATCAGCAGGCAAGTTGTAGTCCTCAAAGCTAATTTTGCTACAAACAACAAAGGGTAAGCATGGAAATCCCTATAGGTGCAAACTTGTTCTCCCGCAAAGAATTATCTTACAATCATCCCATTCCCATTGCATGTAAAGTGTACAAACAAGGCTAATCAAGGATGGATTACACCATAGCAATACAACCCCTCCCCACCATAGCAATAGAACCCCTCCCTCCCCTTTCTCCCTCCAGGATTCCTTTCTTCCTATGGTTACCCAACAAAAAGGTGAGAATAGATGTGGTTAAGCAAAAAATATCAGCTACACAGATTCTTAAAAAGTACCTCTAAATAACTAGCTTATTTGTTGTATAGAAAACTAAGACCCAAATTAAAAAGATAAATAAATAAAAATAAAAAATAAAAATAAAAAAGAGAAAAGAAGAAGAAGAAGAAGCAATTAAAGTAAAATCAGGAAAATCATACTACAGTAGTTGGACCAAGCATTTTGGCTAAAAAAGAAGTAATTAAAGTAAAATCTGAAAATTAATATTACAGTAGTCAGATTAAGCATTTTGGCCGAAAAGTAACTTCCTCGGTAATCTGTTTCTGTCATGTACCCCTTTCCCCAGCCTCAAATTTGAATGATAGACAGTAAAAATAATCTCTTCAAGGGAAGAGTCAGACTTGGAAAGTTATATTTAAGCCACTCTATGATTTTCAAATGCAAATTCTTTGCTTGAAAAAAGTTAAATTATTCTCTTATACTTAAAACTACTTGAGGGGATTGAGTGATTTGTGTTCTACATTGATAGAAACTCCTATTCAAGTTCAAAATTATCGCCAGCCTACTTCCGTGCTAAGAAAAACAAATGCTTTTATAGTTCCAGAATGCTGGACAAGCTGGGGACAAAATGCATGCAGATCTTGACCCAAAACCAATAGTGTAATGAATTCAAAACTACAAAGTATCTTCGATCACATTAATTTCTCAGGATCCAATTTAAATCGAACAAATCAAAGAAGAGATGGATAAAAGGCTTACCCACTAGCATCAATTACATCTCTTGAAATCTTCATCTTCTTGGTAGTTCCTTTATACAAATCCTCCAAGCTGCATGGCAACGTCCGTTCTATGGCAGGCCCTTTTCTCGGTATATTTGCAGAGCCCTCCCCAGCTCCGCTTCCAAACCGCGCAAAGATGTCATCCGGAAACATACTCCTGGAAAAGCCGGAAGCCCCAGCACGTGACCCACCCATGTCACCCATTCCCCCAAACGGTTTCGAAAACCCAAAAAAGTC